ACAGTGGCATCGGCATGAGTTCCTGGCTCGTTGAGCTTGCTCAAGGAGCTCTGGAAACTAGCGGCGCGGACTGTTTGTTGGCTCGCGCGCGCGACGCGCTCTTCTCACCGGAAACGCGTAGAGTCATAGAGCTAGGTATGAATCCAACCATCATCCACCCCAGGGCTGTCCTTACGGCAATGCAGGTGCGGGGACAGGCATTGTGTCACTGACGCTGGGTACGCTGCGCTCGACGTTGCCGAAAGACAAGGACGGGTGTATCCTCGCCACAGATCTAGGTCTGTCGTGTCGATCGCACTGCCTGTCTACTCTGACTGTAGCCTCAGAGTCGGCAATGCCTCTCCTTGAGCACAACATATCTGTGAATGGAGCGCTTTTCGACACGCAATCTGCGCGACCGCGTTCGCTTGTCTTGGATTGGGATGTCGAAGAGTTGTCTGCAGACATCCGCTCTGGCAAAGCTGGTTTCGACGCGATCGTTATGGCGGATGTGACGTACAATACCGCATCGTTCCCCTCACTATTGCGGACGATTTCCTCCCTTATCCAACTCAATCCCATGAAGAGACCTATAATCATCCTTGGGTACAAGGAGCGCGACCCGTCAGAGCGAGCGTTGTGGGCAATGGCTAAAGACATCGGTGTTGTATTTGAGAGGGTCGGAGAGAGGACCGGCGCCGGCGGCCAACCTGTGGAGCTTTGGGTTGGGTTGTGCGAAAATAAGTCTTAACCTGATAGGGGTCAGTATTCACGGTATGTACACCAAAGCTGATTCAACGTCACTTTCAATCAGTACTCATACGCCACACAGAATGAGGATGTATCATTATTACAGTAAAAGCCGACGCTCCCTTTCGCCCCGAGCAGCCGCTAAGCCAATCCGTATACATCCTTGGACTGGGCACGCGCTCATAATCGTTGCTTTCAAGGTGTGTCATCATCGGCGGGATAACCAGGCTGCGGCCGTAGCGTAGACATACCACATTTTCTTGACGGCTACGCTCTCGTTCCCCCGACGCCATGGAAGCCAGAATTCAGCGCTTCTCGCGTCAAGGTATATAATGCAAGCATGGTGCTACGCTCGCCGACGGCCCCTGTACGTTCTCCCTGTGTAGCCTGCGCTCGTCTGCTCCTCTCAAGCGGTCGCTCCATTGCCATGCCTATCTCTCGCAGCAGGTTCATTGCCCTCTCCGTTGCCCTCGCTATCAGCGCTACTCCCGCCCAGGCCGACTTCCATATATTCGATGGTACGAACGGGGCCGACGGCTATGCCGCAAAGGCCGTACCCTCCAACCACTACTCCTGTCTGGGGTGGTGGGGCGCCCCGATCGTCAGCGGCCTTCTCAGCGTCGACTCGACCACGTCTGCGTTCTCCGTGCGGGACCTGTGCGGCGTCGCTCAGCTCAACTTCTACAACAACGGCGAAGGGTTCGACGTCTACTTTGATGAGGGCGATGGGATGCGGATCGGGACGTGCAGCCCTGCGAACGGCCGTTCTATCAACGGCGGTTCCGCTTGTCCGGATGGGTATGCGGTCTTCGACACGTACGTGTGTATGTCGTATGTCTGTAATTGAATAGGTGAGCGGACTCCTGGCCGGAACGCCGTCGCTAGTGTATGGCTATGACACTACAGCGTTGCAAACAGGTGCCTCTTGGACGAATGTAGACTTCACTCCAGTTCGGCGGCTACGGTCGGCGGGAGGAGATACAGCAATGAGCGGACGGCTTGTGTACGATGATCAGGGCCAGGGATGTTGTGGTTTATGAGATGGTCTTTGACATGGCAAGCTTTATGACCATCAGCGCAGATGACTGACGACGTGACTAGGTTGAATGCACAGCCAGATGAACATGCTCTTCACTGCATCGTCCGTGATCGCAGTTGGGCAAGAGAGTACAGGTTTCCCAGCGGAATACAGCTCTCTCTGTATACGCGATGAGACAGAGCACAGTACTACGATATACGAGAGCAACGAATTCACGAATCACCTGTTGGAACGGGGAACCAACCCGCTTCTCGCATACGACCGGAACGGGCACGACACCTCTATAGCCAATGATGAAAATGACGCACGAGACGGGTGAGTTCGTCCTGACAAGCTCGATCTCGTAGTGAAGCGACGAATATGAGGAGATCTTCGGCGGAAAGTGGTACAGCCGTGGACCGGGCACCTCTCCGGACGGCAAGCGCATGGCGACCTCGCGCCAAACGAGTGGGGTACCCGGGATCCAAGCAACAGATGCACACTCCGGATACGTGTTAGGGGTCTCGAGGCGTCGGTAGAAGACGGCGGCGGAGGAGTGGATCGCACCATCGGGGTGTTGTGTCGCCTCATAACTATATCGCTCGTGGCTCTGGGTGCAGCAGCAGCATTGGGATAGTTCCACTGGTCTAGAGTGCGCTAAGCACAAAAGACTCGTAGCAGGGTCAATGTACTTGTTCACGAACATAAGAGCTCTCGGTATAACAAGCCAAGTATGTTGAAGCGCTGACTAACAATTCTGAGGAGCTTCCACTGCGATGACCAAGTGCTCACTTCGAAGGTGAATATTTGCACGCCCAAGGTGCTAGAGCTATGCACCCGCCCACCACGCGTGCACTGTGTCCTGGTCTTCCTGACCCCGCCCGGAACTGGGGCGGCAGTAGCGGTCCACCAGGGATATACAAACCGCGGCCCGATATTGACTGGTCATGGCACCCGCCAGTCGCAAACACTCTTCTCGACCTAGTGATAAATTCTAACGCGACGCCCAATTGCGCGCTCACAAGTGAATCATACACTCTGCCAGTGCTACCTACTGTCGAACCACGGGTCATGCAGGACCTCATGAATAGTCGGCCGCTTTCCGGGGTCCAGGACTAAGATCCTCCGGAGCAGCCTCACTAGACGATCTGCATCCGCGTCGTCCTCGCACCCCCGCCGCAGGTGCTCGCGCCGCTCCTGCCACTTCGTCTCTGCATCTTCAAGGGAAAGCTCTGCATGCCATCGCCAGCGTGAGCGGTAACGCCAACACACGACCAGAGTCGAACAGAGAGGAACCGTACCAGCGCTCTGGAGGCTCGGCCGCGACTCCCAGTACGCCTGCCACTCGGGCAGCACGCCCCCAGCCATGACGGCCATCGCGCGGAGGAGCCCGTCGGAGATGCCGACGCCGTGGAAGATCGAGGATCCCGCGACGAGTTCGTACATCTAGGGCACGCGCGGAGTGAGCACGCGCGAACGCCGACGCGAGAACGGACAACAGACCGCGGCCCCGACGGCCCACACGTCGCTCTCGGGGCCCCATCCCGGATCTCGCCTGCCCAGCGCGACGAGGGCAAAGGCCACTTCTGGCGCGCACGCTTCCGCCGCGCACTGGATGTCGCCCGCGGGCTCGTCCGTTCCTCGAGCTGAGCGGGGCGGCGGTCAGCCAGCGCCCCTGCTTAAGACGCGCGCCGTGGACAGGACGGAGGGCGTACCGTTGCCATAGTCCAACAGCTTGGGGTGCGGTGCGCTGTCCGGCGCGCGTATCTGCTTCATGTACTGCGCGAGCGCACACGGCGCCACGACGTAGGGCGGCAGGGACGCTGTCTGCGCCACCGGGTCGCACGGGAGGACGATCGTGACGTCGTACGGGCTCAGGTCCTGCATGACGTTGCTCTCGTCCTGGCCAGCGAGCTCCGGAAAGGCGCACCCGAGGTTGCCCAGGTGGATATCTGCAGGTGCGCGCGCCCTCTCCTCAGCGGATACATTCGTCGAGACGCCGTGGTCGTGCGGACGGGGAAGCGCTTACCGCCGTGCTTTGCGCCGCTGTCGTGCATCTGCGCGACCCCGCGGACGAGCCCGCGCGCGAGGGCCTTGCGCCAGCCGGGCGGCTTGCTCGGGTTCAGCGAGGAGAGCGCCGGCACGACCACTTCCGTCACCAGGACGTGGTGCGTGCCGTTCGGCCCGCGGATGCTGAAGTGGTCGTAGATCTCGAGGATGTGGCTCGGGGCCCCGTCGGAGTCCCCACGCCGCGCGCCTGCGAGCCTCGCGAGCATCTGCGCTTCGCGCGCCGCATGTGCGCCCAGATCCGCCGTGGTGATCTTCAGCGCGACGAACGTCCTGCATCCCCCACCCCAAAAAAATACGACCGACGACGATAACAGGCCTCAGCAAACGTGCGGGATGGATGAGAGGAGGGATGAGGCGATGATCTGGGAGGAAAAAGACACGCACGCAGAGCGGACGTCGCGCGCTAGCCACACCGTCGCGTACGCCCCGTACCCGAGCTTGTGCAGGATGCGATAGCGGCGCTGGGGCGCGGGGAGGTCGGGCTGCGCGTCGAGCATATCCCCGATGGCCACGGGGTGGTATCCGCCCGGGCGGTACAGCTCGAGCTCCTCCGTGGTGTCCATCGGGTCGAAATGGAACTCTATCGGATCGTGTTCCTGCCAGTGGGTATCCATCGCAGGGCCCAGCAACGTGCCGATGGTCAGGGATTGGGTAGTGATGGCGACGTTCGACGTGCGGTCGAGCGATGGACAGGTGGTTGAAGGGGGGCGCTGGGGGAAACGATGTTTGGGAGGGTGTCTATTGGTACCACGCCGCCAGTACTGGTGGTGCGCCGATGGACCGTATCGATGCTGGCTCGCGTGAGCTTGTATGTTCGAGATAGTCTATCCGGAGGAACGGCGTGGGACGCACAAAGAGCGGGCTGGTTGACTCTGAAGGTCTGGGCGTCGTAGGCAGATACCGGTCGAGTCGCGCCTGCTTGTATTGTGTGGTGAGGCTTCTGCCACCGCGCGCATGGCACTAGCCATTCACATAATTGTAGGGCAAGGCTGCGCATATGTTAGATATTCCACGTGGATGCCTCTAGAGGCTAATACGCACATATGCATATGCTTTTATTCATCTGCATGGGGGTTGCAAATTTGTAGCTGAGTTACAGACCTCAGCATCGTGGCGAGAGGGAGCTGCTATTGTATAACATGTCTCATGGGTCTATGAACAATATGTAGAACGGTGTTAGACATCTCTGTTAGTATATCGGTTAGTACACGCGCTTGTCACCGAGCACTAGCCGCGCGAAAGCGGGGTTCGACTCCCCGACAGAGAGTAACCGGAGTGTGTAGCGTGTCTTTTTGTTTCTTACCGTACGTTGTATACACAACGCATGCAAATGGCATAGCACGTACATGCCTGCCTTACCTGATAAGCGAATGTTGACGTCGCCAATAAATATTTACGGGCCCATGTTTCCGACAATAGAGTAGATTCATGTGTGTAAGCTAATCGTGGGTCACTGGTATGCTGTACTGCGAATAGCGCATAGCGTCCGCGTGTATATGAAGCATCGTCAAATGTCTCCTCCACGCCGCAAAGCCAATCGGTAGATATTATTGATACATCGTCCGCGGAAATCCTGCAGTCGTCTGTCGTTTCCCGCCGCAACCGTCCGTCATCATTCGTTCATGATCCCCGCCCTCACTTCGGGCGCACGCTCAGAGCAGGATAGCGCCACCAGCGAGGCCGGAGAGGAGCACCGCCGCCCACAACGCCGCGGGGGCAGCGCCCGCGAGCGCTGGCGCACCGTTCGTACTGGACGATCGGTCAGTGCCCGCGTTCGCGTTCGAGCCCGAGACGGTGGCGGCGACCGCGCCGACGGTCGGGGAAGGCACGGGGCCGGTCTTGCCGTTCATGCCCGTCGCGGTGTCGGAGAGCTGGGCAAAGCCGACGGAGGCGGGGCTCGCGCGGAAGACGGAGTAGACGTTCTTGAGGAAGGTGTCGCCGACGATCCATGGCGGCGCACTCGTGCCCGTCGTGTCGAGCGAGAAGAACGCGCCGACGCAGGTGTCCTGCGAGATCTGCTGCAGGAGGAAGTCCGCGTTGGAAATCGGCCAGGCAATGCTGCTAGAGCCGAAACGCATGGTGACGTTCACTTCTGTGCTGCAAGCTGCGCGCGGCCGTCCTATTAGCTCGAACTTCGGAGGCGGAGAGTTGGATGCACTCACGATATGTGTAATACCCTTGACTCCCAGATAGCGTCGACGAGCCGGGAATCTGCGCATACAATGCCGAGACGGCGTCTTCGGGACCGCCCACGAGAGTGGTGCCGGTGTCAATGGCGGCATAAGCTCCGGACCCAGAGGGGAGGGTGATGGAGTCGCCGTTGACGGTCAGAGCTACATGATGACACAATGAGCTCATTTTCTCGGAATAGCTGCGGCTATGCGCTCACCGGCCAACTGTTGGATCCAGTAACCCTCCTGCCCGCTCGGGATATCTTGGTAGTCGATGGAGCCAGTGAACAGAGACGTGTTAACAGCACCCAGGTTGAACGTTCCTCCGGGCTCGAGAGGGCTCGCATTTGCCGTATCGACGAAGCGCGTCAATTGGAACGCCATGAGCGGAGAATCAAGAGTGCCGTCGCTGTCAGCGAGAGCCTGCCAGAAGGGCTTTGCCCCTGACGCAGCGATACTCTCAAAACCAAGACCCATGAGGCCGGACACGGGCGAGTTGAGAAGGTCAGTGGACACTTGCGTTACGACGCCTGAGTGGGGTCATGAACACCCGTACGACCGTTCCGAGAAGAGGCGAGTCACTTACCAAATGTTTGGGAGTCCACCTCAAAGCCGGCAAATCTGACAGCATCCTTTCCGAGAGTGCCCCTCGCGGCCCCAGACCCGTAGCTTATTGAAAAGGAAGTGTTAAGGTCGGTGAACGAGGTTGATGCTGGTGACAGCGTCAGTATGAAATGCAACGATGAACAGGGGTACCAGGAAACGGACCAGAAGAATCGAAGGTGGGTATGCCGTCCGAGGAAGAAGTTGACACGCCGTCAGAGGCTGCGAGCCACAGGTCTGAAGAGCCTGTGTCGAGGATGACGTCGTATGATATTGCGGGGGTGCCGACTGCTATTGAACCAAAGAAGCTGGAATCTGCGTTTTGGTTCACAAGGCTAGGAGAGGTTAGGGTGGTGCACAAGTAAGCAAAGAGAGTGAGTGCGTACAGGTTGAGACCGCTTGCGCGCTTTCGCTGGGGGCTGGTGCCGTACTTTGATTCTAACAGCTCCTTCTGGTGGTTGAGCCAAGCGGTGAGCTCTGTGGCGTTGCGCTGTGTTCTGTTCCTTCTACGGAGGGTAATGGCACCTGGGAGTGGCGATGCGGCGGGTGAGGGAGCGGCGAGGATGTGGTGTTGAGCGAGCGAAAGCAGGCATGCGAGAGCAAGGGAGTGCGAGAGGAGATGCATGACTACAGTGAGCCGGGGACGACGTGGAGGAAATAGCGGGAAGGGAAGGGGCGGAAAGTGAGGGAGGAGAGGAAGGGAACGGAAGGAGTTGAAGTAGGAAAACGCGAGGGGCTGCGCACAGCGCGGGGCCAAGGATATGATGTCGTTCCGATGAGTAATCTGACGCGCAGCCTGGTGTTTGGAGTGTGTGGATATCCGCGAGACGTCGAGAACTGAGAACGCAAGCCTGCCGCAGAAGACGAGAGTCGTGCGAGAAAGCGTGGGGTGTGTCCAGCACGGCAAGCAGAGCAAGGAGAGGAGATGAGGAGGAGGAGACGGTCGCGGGCGAGAACAAAGAGAGACGGAGACTGCGGAGCGCTGGCCCAAGCTTGAAGCTAAGCGCCAGCCTGACTCTGCCGGTGCGTGCCTCTCCACAGATCGCCCCGAGTCCAAGTCCGACCCGCGCTCGCCGTCAGCCGCACCTGCCAAGTCCGCCTCCCGCCCCCCGACGCCCGACGCCCGCCCAACACTAGCCAACACTCAGCCTTGTCGGCGACAGCATGGTGCACGACCGGTGCCATAATCTTTTACATGTCACTCAGCTACCATGCACTATTAATCGACCCCAGATATTCTTAACTGCTGCGTGCCGCCCAGCGCATCACTCAATAAGCCCCGCTGCAGACCGGTGTCCCCGCAGCCAACACGTTAATCCAAGCTATGCGCCGGCCTGCATCTCTTCACTTGGCCTTGGCCTGCTCTATGTCGGTGGCTTCGTTCCAGCATTCGAGTTCTCTTTCGTCTTGGCTGCTCACTGCCTCCTGCCGTCCCTCGGCGTCTCAGACGAATAGCTCTTCCAGTCTCCTTCACCTCGTCTCGGTGGCTGGCAACAGGGCCTGAGACCTGAGACCTGAAATGAACTCCCTCCCACGCATCCACTTATACATCCTGCTACCCATTGCTACCCGGATGCTGCCATACAGCGCGCCCAGGCCTTTCGCCAGTACTTGGTCTCCCGTAATAGCCAATGTCGTACACTACACTCCTCACCGCTGTACTCGCTTATGTTCCTGAGCTGCGCACACGCCTCTCTGCTGCGCATTCGAGGTAAGAGGACAATCCAGGCACGAGACGCAGCCTTGCACGTCGCGACGCTCTCCTCGATCCGCTGTACCGTATCGATCTATCACTTGCAAGTTGGGCCCATGACTTGGCAAATTTGGACAAACTGCTATTTACTTTTAGCCGTGGCCCAATTGGCGCTCTAGCGTTTCACCTTCGAATTTTTATCAGGTCAAGTTGAAGTGCACGAGTTCTGTGAGTACCCTATTGTCCGACAGCCTGTGCTACACGAATGAATCCGCACCCACCTTGCCCTAGCTGGCCTGTGGGTCCCGCCAAATGGGACGGCCTCTTCAGCGCGAACTCCCTGTTTTGGTCAGCGTCCATCTGGTTTGAATCGCGCGCTTTGATGCAAACTGCGGACATGGCCTCCGACTCCCTGAGATGTATTCGGGGTTCTTCAATTCACTGCCTCCATTGCACACTATCAGGATAACGCCGTGCACTCACGATATTCATGTCCAGAGGACTACTCCAGAGTCGACTATACTCATTGCAGGGGTTTCTAACTTGTGTACGCTCCTGTTGTGCCGCCTGATCTGGACCCCTCAAGGGTTGGTCGCGCAGGAAGGAGCCTCCTCGGATATCCTACCAGCCGCCGCCTAATAGATGCGTCGATCGTCCGCGGTGCGGATGTGTCGTATGTGGTACTATGAGCGTCCCTGGTTGCATCCGACTGTGACATATTGACAGCTGACTGCGAGTACTCGGATGTCCAACCATGGCCAGGTAGCGACAGATCCAGCGGTACGTATATGGCTATGTCGTGGAAATACAGTGTGTAACATGCGTGAATATACAGTGTGTAAGATGTCCAATTGGTCAAGGCCTTCTTGCAAGGTTGTCGAGAAAACCACTTCAAATCGCAGTACTTTGACCACTCACGCGGATGCAAATGGATCGCGGGGAGGAGCTGTCACAGCCAAAGTTTGTTCTGCGTGGCAGTACTTCGAGTGTTACGTTCAACTCGTTCAGGCAAAGTACCGGAGTACTGCTGCTGCACCGACGACGATCTCAGCATGTCCAGGCCCGCGTTTTATATCTGCTGCAGCCACCCATATTCATCCGCCCCAGAGTCGCGGCACTTCCGCGCGGGTCCTTGTTGATCGGTCGTGGTACTCCTCGATCTCGCTCTGGTCCTGTACACTCCCGCCGCCATCCCGTCGACATGCGGGCCTTATGTCGCTGTGCTGAGATTGATAGAGTTCGCCTGATTCCGACATACCCCTCAAGTCTCGTCTGCAGCTGAGCTCGCGTCCCCCCTCATCATGGATTGTGCGACTACCTCTGTGCCCTCCGCGGCAAACCTCATGAGTGTCACAACTCCGCAAAAGATCAATCTAGGGGCTATACTCCTGGGATGCGTCGTACAGTCTGTGTGCGTATCTTCTAACGACCTCAATCACTGGCACCGGATGCTCATTCAATACTTCCCCTAGGTTTTACGGAAATTCTCTCTTGCTCACATGGAGATTTTACAGGAAAGGTCGGGGGAAAGATCCGTGGTGTTTCAAGGCGGCGGTGAGTGCGCACCTCTCCTCAATATTTTTCGTGGCCTGAGACAGAACTCCTCTTGGAGATCGGGATGGCGTGGTGAGGCTTCACAAAACCAACTTTTGCACAGGTCCAGAACTGATAGTGGCACCAGGGGTCTATGTACCGTCAGTGTTGCGGCGACCGCGTATGGCCTGTGGTTCTTCGTCATCGAGAGCCTTTCACGACAAAATCAACATGCGCCATGGCGAGTAGTCCCGTCACTTCTTCCTT